TGGTTGTTGCCATAAGGTTCTGCTTGATATTTGTATATTAAACTTTATTGAAAATTATTTATGGAGTAAAATAATATACAACAGACACGGAAACAGAGGAGAGAAAGAAAGAGAGAGAGACAGGAAAGAGTGCATGGAAGAAAAAGAAACAGCAATGTCTATGTCAACACAAATAAAGTTTGAGACATTCAGCATATAGGTAATAAAAAACATGTATAATATATAATATTTTTTGTTATTTTTGTTCATCCCTGCAATTATTACACACTTTAACTTTAAAATGTAGAAAACAATGATAACTAAACTAAAAATGATTACCTGGGGACAACATTGACTGTGTTTACTCTCCCTTAATCTGCTTAACCATGATTAGTGGCAGTTAAATTACTTTAAAAAGATTCTCACAGTAAGAATCTATCACAAGAACAAACTGTATTTAAAGATTGTTTTTCTCTTTGAAGCTTTAATCTAAGACATATCATTTGGGAACAAGGTATTCTTTGTGTTTCTGACTGATGGATTTTAAGCAATAAAAGTCTGAGATCTCTTTACGTCATAAGTCTGAAATGCAGTTACATATTTCATTGTCCAATCCATTAATCTGAACGATAAATAAATACAGGCCATGCAGGAACGCTTTTGTCTCTTACAATTTTAGTTCTCTGTATCACGTGTAAAACATCTCAAAGGATAATGGCTGTACGCTTAAAAAGCATTAGTGAGATTGAGATATGTCCTTTTAAAAGCTCCAGATGCAGTGCCTTTTTACACTCACCACAAGAGCCCATCTATCGTGACTAACTGTCGACATAAATGTGCAGATAAACATTTTGGAGAGCATCAGACTGAATCACCATGAGCTCCCATGAGACTTATTCCTGCAAAAAAATACTTTGGATAATAAGCTAGCTGCATTATTCATGACAATCTGACAGATCTGCCTCACAGTTACAGGGACTAATCATCACTTTAATACAGAACATTAAGTTAGTAATCCATATGAAAGTCATATATCGAGCAATTTTATCCACATAGGACAGTGTAGAAAAATGTCTTGCATTGATGATTTTGGATGTTTTCTATTTTCATTCCAAAATTCTAATACTCCACTCTAAATGACTCTAGTTTTACAATCAAGAACAAGAGCAACATCCTAAGAAAGATGAATTGTTAAGCTGCAGTATGTCGCAAAAAAACAAAAGGTTCTACAAACATTTCCCATGTGATATAAGGGATAAAAATAGCTTTCTTTCCTGAAGGCATGCTCTACTGACAGCCGGTGCTGTAACCTAAACAGATCCATTTATCAAATAAAATAAATCCAAACTTTGAAACCATCTGCTAAGGTGTTTTTCAGTAGTAACTGGAACTGTGACCTAAGTTTTATGCACCATGCATACCTGATTGTCAGAATATATAAAGGCAATAAGAAACCTACCTAACCATCAAAGCGATAGCTTACATAAATTATTTCCTTCATGGTTTAATGGGGAGACTAATTTTTCATGAGTTCTATGAGTTTATAAATATGCAGAACCTGAATGGATCCCTGCATGTCCAAAGTAGTGTTTGTTTTTAGCTGCTTTACATTATGTCCTCATTTTGCAGCTCACCATTTCTGTTAGTAACTTATCTCAAAGCAAATGAAAGACCTAGGATAATTAATCTAGAGGCATACCATAATCCTATTTACTGTACATCAGAGGCATACAACATCCCTGGGCTTCAGGGCTCCTTAGGCAGTTTTATTAAGCCTCTAAAAAGTTTGTATTTATACAGCAAAGTAGGAAATTGGCTACATGGGAAACTTTGATACCAATTAGAAAACCACTGTCCCCTTTTATTACTCTAATTTTTATATTACATATTTAGCTCACAACCCCTGCATAAAGTACAATATATGTTCACAATAATAAATCAATCAGTCATGATTTATGCCCAAATAAAGGCAACCCAACCTGGTGAAGATGATATGCTAAAGTTTAAACAGACTATAAAAATGGAAAAGAAAATGGATTTGAAATAATTTAAAATGTGATATGACTGCTGGTGCCAGACAGTGTTGTTTTCTTCAACGATGACAAAATCATTTCGTTGTCACTCCTTTTTTTCATGACAATTATGAAAAACGATGAGCTAAACATGGAACTTTGATGACTAAAACATGTCTAGTAATAGGTTTGAGTTTTGAGACGAGACTAAATAAAGATTAGCGGATGGTCGGTCAGACGTTTGGAATGAATCATTGTGCTATAATCAGCTAACCAATATTAGTCGTGCTGCTGGGTCTTGTTTGATCACGCCGTGCAGCGTTGCACATGCTGCAGGAGCACAGATGGACCATGGCAGCAGCGGCAGGGTCTGAGATAATAACCCGGAATAGTCTGGTACTGAGCGCTGAACTTTGCTCTTATCTTCAGGCTCTGCTCTCGATACTTGATCAACTATACAGGGCTGATCATCCTCTGCCAAGCGTAAACAAACCCTTCACTATCAATATTTTATTTCTGCCACCTCAGAAGAAGTGATACTACATATTCTTTCATTGTTACCAAATTTTTATCAAAATAAAATATTTCATTGCATTCTGTTTATTTTTGGATAAAGAGCCAGGTGAAAACATACATAGATTTTTGATTACCGGTATTTCTATATTCATCAAATTAAGGTCTGGATTGCCATGGCATTACAAGGCATTTATGTAGTTTCTCTCTTTATCTCCTTATAGAAAGTAGAAAGAAGAATGTTTTTGTTGCCAATGATGATTCTATTGATCTGTGTGTAATGCATAATTCAGAGTAGATCAGGAAGTGTTTTCTTTGTGATGGAAACCTTGTATGTCTAAAACCACTTCTTTTTTGAACATTTTGTTAACTTGTCTGTCTGCTATATTAACCAATAGCACGTGTTGAACTAGATATGCTTTTTTCACAATTTTTGTAAGACACTTTTTTATAAAGTAGGGCATTAATTCTTTAAAAAATTATTTGAATTCTAAAAATCTAAGTTTTCTCCCCAACAGCAATGATGAACTGCACAGCAGAATTCTATACCCAGCAATTGTATCTAGGCTAGAGCTGACAGTCTGGTAAAAAATCAGGTTGTTATTCGAAATTGTAAAAGTGAATTTTTTTTACAACATAAAACTAGACTAAAACCTTTTTTCAGTTTTAGTCGACTAAACCAACTAAAACTATCACATATCGTAATGACTAAAATGTGTCATATATATTTAAATCCATGCATCAAGGGGTTAATGTGAAGGTGCATTAACACCAAAGATCATTGCAGGACCTTTAGCATTCAATTTATATGTTTTATATAAATTTATATAAGATATATATCTTTAATATAAAGGATTAAGCATTTTTTTTTACAATTATGCTGAATGACAAAATACATGTTATTTTAACAATTTATTATCCCATCTGTATTGACTAAATAACAAAAAACGAATCTTTTCTTATGCACTATTAAATTTCTAAATATTTGCAAGATATAAAAAAAGCTATTAGGTTACTAATTAAAAAGATGGAATTTGAAAAACTAATTTTCAAAAATACAGAGGTGTAAAACTATCATTAGAAGAAAAAGGTATGCCACTCTGGAATGCTGTCACAATATTTGGGCTTTTTGTTTCAATAAAATTTATGCTAGTTATGATATAAATCTCTGTTTTCAAAGTTTTCAACAATCATTGCTGGGAGAAACTTTCTGCTGTTAGCGATGCTTTCCTTTGGTTGGTTCTGGTTGCTCTCAGAGCAAGGTTAAAACAGCTAAATGAAGTGCATTAACTCAGTAAAGATTTAATCTACTGTACTTATGGGTAGAAAGTCTTTTACTGTCATGTTACAAATGTTTTGCGTAGTTCCCTCTACTTTCTTATCATCACATCCTCGCTCTCTAAGCACAGCATAGAAGTTGATGCTGCTCTGCCATGCAGCACATTTAAATAAGCTCTGACTAGGTGATAGCTAAGGTAGTTTATCACCCATTTATATTTTCAAACAGAAACGCATATTGCACATTCGGAATCTGCATTAATCAGTTCATATAAGTCTAGACCTGAGTCTGGATTATTTGTTTCTTTCCTAGCATGCATCTGCTCCAGCATTACTTCCCTTGCAAATACCAGTAAGGATCCAATCCAGAATCCACAGCAACATCCTCTACTGCAGTGTTTCCCAACCTTTTTTGACTTGTGACTTGATTTTACTTAATCTTTTAATTTAAACATTTATTCTTAGGCATTTTTGGCTTTCCACCTCAAATGAAAAAGAAAAAAACATAAACATGTTGCCTTAAAGTTAGTAAGGAATCAAATTAAATACAAAATATCATATTATAAACCTGTATTTATAAAACTGGATCTCCTCTGAGTAACTCTTTTAATCACATTTAAACTCGAGGAATTGGGAACAAAATACAGAACAAAAATTAGAGTCTGACTGATTAATTAGTTTTACTTTGTTTTCATCAAGACACCTGAGCTGCAGGCGAACTCCAGCATTTAAGAAAAATTGACCGTTTAGTTGATAAAACCTTTTTTAATTGTTCTATTTGGTCCTCAGAAAACAAAACAGATCCCAGCCCTATTTTATTTACTACATAAGAAATAAAATATTTGTATTTACCCCTTGCAATGCACTCGTGGACTACTAAGGGTAGGAGTACCCCCGGTATGGAGTCACTGCTCTAGTGGAGGGCAGGAATGCCCCAACACTGAAAGTAACTTCTTCTAAGCTCATGTTTTTAGCATATCAGATAAACAGATTTTAATCTAAAAAACCATTAATCTATTATTATTTGTAAGTAAATTAGTTGTTTATTTCCCTAATTAGCACAGTAAACTGTTTTGTTTTTGCCTAATCTCTTGGTGAAATAAATTAATTTATAAAATAACTGCCTCAGCCCCTAAGAAAGGGGTTCTGTAAACACAGATTCAAGTTGTTAGATTGCCTGTATATATCTATTCCTGGTCTGAGCTGGTTCTGACTTACCTGACCTCTCCTGGATCTTCAGTAACCAGAACATCTGTCTTACAGCTGGCGATGGGGTTGATTGACAGTTCCACTGGTGGCACCACAAAGCTTTTGCTGACGGGAAGCCACAACCCTTGGCCCAAACTGTAGAAAGATCTGTACAAGTAAGGGAAACAGGTGCTTAAGTGACACTATAAGATCTGCACAGAATATAATGGCAAACAATAAATGTATGCTACATATTTGATACAGACATGTAAACTGGAATGTGGAAGAAATGGCTCGTATGAGGTATTCACAACTTCAGCATATCAAAGCATTTTGGCAAATGTTCTACTTCAAATGTTGTAGAAACGTTTTTTGTGGTTCCTTCCTGTTACAAAATGGCTGTGCATCAGGGCACAAGCAAGCTCCATAATGACCTGGTTGAGTGAATGTGGAAATAAACTCCAAACTGTTACTAAACATCATTGTCTGACTCTACAGATATTCTTATGAAAGTCTGAAATTCCCATAAGGACACTTCCTCACCTTGAGCCATTACACATCTAACATTTATAAACTGTCCTGATTCTGGCCTGTTAGTCTGCACCTCTGTTGTCTGCTTCTGATCCTCTCGGTGCAGATGCTATTTAGATCATCGTTATCCCCTGCTTCTCCCCTGCCAACACACTAATCACACTTCCTCGCTCCACCTGTTCACCTGGCTTAATATACAGTACTGCTCTTTGGTTTGCAAAGAGTGCCAAATTATGAAAAGCATTAAGTGAGTAAATGCCCAGAGTTCCTCCCTTGCCTGCATAATCTCAATCTAATTTCTGTTCACTGGATTTTCCAGTTTTTCCTTGCTCACCTTGGCTTGTGATTTCTGGGCATCCACTTTGTTTCTGACTCCTGCTGCCTCCTCTCTAACCCCTGGATCTATCTCCCTGAATCCACCTCTCCATGTTCAACCTCACGTCTATGCCCTGACTACAGATTTAATCATTAACCTCGGATCCTGACACTTATTTCTGCACCTCTGACTTCGCCCACTTTATTTTTCCTGATCACCAATTCCTGTCAACTTCCTGAGTAGGAAACCTGAATTTTCCTCCCTGTGTGTCCTTATTGTGACTATGTTGGGTTGGATTTTAAGATTCACATTTACGTTCGTGAATCATGATATCACATTGCATTCACCAGCCAGTTATATTGAATGGCCGAAATTCATATATCAATTTTTATAGAATGTTTGTTTTGAGATGGGGCCAAGGCAGCATGTAAGAACTTGTCATTTGTGCCATATGTTGTTTTCAAAACAAAAACAAGGCTTTGTTGGGCTACTGTATAAAACCTCGAACTCAACGCTATTCCTGACATTTTGAATTGAAAAAGCTAACTGGATGGTAGGCGAAACGTCTTCAAACTTGGAAACAAAGTCTAGTGGATTGTTTTTAATTTTCTTTTTTTTTTTTGGAATGACTATGACCTGGATGACTGAGAACCTCCACCAGCACTTGTCATTTGTGAAAAGCTATACAAGGTAATTGTATTTTTAAAAACAGTAGAGATTGGCAGATATTTAGATAGTATTGCTAGATATGTGTTGTTTTTGGATACATGCACTTATTTATCTTGAATTTGTCCTAAAACTTTATGCCATTTTCATGTCTATCACTCTCATATCATTCTAAATCGATAAATTGTTAATTTCAGTACCAAAAGGTGAAGTTTTGAGAAACATTAAATGGTTCATTAGCTTATTACTACACATATTTTACATAAATGGTACCGTTCAATTTAAAATAACAGGTTCATATAAATACCCTTCAGTATGTTCTATTAAACACAGAAATGGTTTGGTATTTCTAGTTTTTTCAATAAACTTCTCTTAGTCTCCTGGGGCGACAGTGGCGTCGGGTGTAAGAGTTTGCCCTAAAGGATTGATGGTTCAAGCCCCGGTCCCGACTTTCAGTGTCGTTGTGTCCTTGGGCAAGGCACTTCACCTGCATTGTGTATTGTATGGCAGCCTCGCTTCTGTCAGTGAACCCCAGGGCAGGTGTGGCGACAATGTAGCTTGCCTCCATCAGTGTGTGAATGGGTGAATGATTGAATGTGCTTTTGTCAAGTCTCCTGACTCTTACTATTTAGTGCTAAATCACATAAGTAAGTTTCAAACACCACAAACAAAATAAATATATAAAATTCCAATATTCTCAAAATCTAATTATTTATATAGACCTCTATGCAATACTTGACAGTTCAAAAGAGTTAAAAATCTATTCTTTGAGAATATGTGGTTTATGGAGAACACAAGATGCTTTAATGTCTCACTGTTGAGGCAGCTCTAGTTTTTACTGAAGCCCACCAAGTGTGAATCTAATCCCTGTTTCGATAAATCTCCTCTCTTGACTGACAGAGTTTGTTGTGGTAAAGATCCTCACAGTCTTCTCACTTCCTAAGACTCCTGCAGTTTTCCTTTTTACCGCTGGATCTTCATTACTTGCGTGTTTATCTGTGTTGGTGTGTTCAAGGCTGAGTGCATTTTGCAGAGCAACTGAACCAGCGTGTCTGGTTACTGCCTGGATTTCAGTGTATGCTACCTGATCACAAATATATTGTGGTGCTTTTACCAGTGCAGGCACAGAAAGTGAAGCAGATTTCTGGGCAGAACACAGATTGTGAATTTACTGCTTCAGTTCTTATAATGGACTCCACCTAAACAGCTATCTACAAGGTCAGAGTAAAGTGGACCGAGGCTCTAGTGACAAAGAATCCCTCCTACCTACATCAAGAAGGTCTAGAGAGCATGAAATAGAAGTTCGATTTCACAAAATGAGTACTTATCATCTTTTATAGAGTCCAGCGGCTTCTTTTTTTTTCTTTTGCGTGGAGGGGAGGGGGGTTACAAAATAAGGAGCTAGGCAACAAAGAATGGGTCCCTTGCCTTTAACACTTTGTGAAAAATGTCAAACACAATGACCCCATCAAGACTGGGGCGAGAAACAAAAAATGGCAGTAAAAGCATTTGACATGAGTCCTTCCACAAGTTTTCCTTGGGCTATTCTGCAAAAACACAAAAAAACCCTCTGGCAAGGCTTTACTCCAGCATGAGGTGTCTTTCTTTGTCAGTACAGCTGTATTCATATGCATCTGTGAACTACTTATCTGTATGCTCTGTGACACACATGCAACTCACATGTGAATTCATGTCAAGAGAATGGCAGTCACTCCTCTACAGACTCACAGATGGCTAGCACAAGTCGTATGATCAAAAAATGCATCGAGGCGTAGGACTCACCTGAAGATTCTCTCTGGGGCCTGCTCTCCTGTGACTAGATCATACCCTTTCTCCAAGTTAGCATATGGCCAAGGACTTAGGAGAGGAGACAAGAAAAAAGACAGAGATTATTTCTTTTAGTTTCACAGTATGTCTAAGCTGGATCATTTAACAGTTATTTAAGCACCTTAATTCAGTATAACTTACATTATGGAAAATCTTGAAGCTTTAAAAATGTTATTGTCTTGCAGTTCAATTACTGAGAGTAAATTAGTTACATCATTATTTCAAAGTATTTACAGTAAATTTCATCTTACACCCACCTGATACTAGATTGACTGACGGGACTGTATTTATACCCCAACACATGGCAGATTTCAGCATGATGGTGAGCCATTTAAATGCACACCAATAGCAAAGCAGACAGTGGTACTTTTAATTACTATGTTGATAACTGTGTATAGTTCATTAGACGGTTTGTAAAAAATACATTCATAGAATATGTTTCAAACCACAGTAAAGATCTTGAAGGAACAACAATGGTGTTAGCGACGATGGTACCAAAAGGAGGTACTTAAGAGGATTCCAGAAAAGAAAAGAAGAGGTGCTGGAAAAACAGAAGAAAACTTCCCAAAATAAGAACATTCTTTCAAAGAACCAAAGAGGGAATGGTCAACGTTGCTGCTACAGTGAGTAAAGATCGCGACCAGGAGATTAATGGAGAGAGTGTGGATAAAGAGGGAGCTCATGGATAATGATGTTTCTCTACAGTTCACTGTTAAAATCATCTTTCCTGGAGCAGTGTGAGTTTCCTTCTTGTAACATACAGTATACTGGCATTTTTTTCATAGAGGAAAGATTTAAAGTCCCAGGATTTGCATTACTGAGGTAATCAGAATTGCAAGTAATTCATCACCATGCTTTCCCATTACTCTGGAAGCCCTTTCACAATTAGCCTGCTTGAGAAACAGCACTCTACCTTTAGTCCAGTGGATTGCTGTATATAAGAACACACAACTGGTCCAAACTTTATTTCCAGTAGCCGACCAGCTATATGAGTACTGCAATCAGTAAAATCTAATATACACTGTTGTTTTCTTTTAGTATAATAACCAGGTACATTTCAGATATCAGAGACTTTGCACAGTGTAAATTTGGAAATTTAGACTCCATTTTCTACATTTTGAGGTGGAATGTAGCTAACTTTTTGTCTTCCTTACAACACCACTTTTGTAGTTGTTTTGATATTTTTTAAGTGAGAAAGTCCACCTAAAACATTCACTGTGCAGTCAGTTCATCAACAATATCCTGCCTTTAAGGATTAATTTGCTGTTTGAGCCACAGAGACCCCCACATAGCGGCTGTGTGCTGTCACAAGGAATCCCCAGCAGCAGCTGACTCGGGCCCATTCGCCTCTTGGGGGTTTATCTATTTTTCGTTGCAGCTGGAAGTAGATATCCGCATGTTTCAGTTATATGGTACAAACTGCAAACACCAGAATAATAAAAACATATTTTGCCAGCATGTTTCGAAATTTTAAGTTAATTTAGACACTAATAAACAGTTTCAGGGGACTGATAATAGCTCTCTGCATCAGCAATGCATTCTGTCCCCCTGCCAGGTCACGGATTAGCTTTTCTGATTGGTTGATAATGGTTCTGTATAAACAGAATGAGTAATTTTGGGAGGCATTTGGTTGTCCTTTATTTTATTTCGGGATATCACGGTTAATTTGTTTAAATACAAATTCACAATGCTTTGTTCAGATATGTAACAGATATTCTGTTTCAAAATGTATCTGTGTTTATCTAACATAACAAAGTTCCCCAATTCATATTGGTTTAATATACGAAACCCCAATAAAAAGGTAAATTTTTAATCTGTATATATCTGAAAGTTGAAATCTTGGCCAATATTCTCAATGTGAAATGATGGAAGGCACTTTATAAATCAACACACTGACAACTAGTAATTCTCTAAGGTTTATTGTCTTTCTTGTAGTTTTGTTGAAACTTTATATTCTAAATTGGGACACTACCAAAACCTCAGGCATTATAAGGATGATTTGTTATGCTGATGATTCATTATTAAAGAACATTTGATTAAGAACCCTGAATGCATTAAACATGTTCCTCACAAACTGTTGTGATAGCCTGACAAATAATTTCCATAATGAGTTTAATATATTATCAAAAATACAAGGTTTAAATCCCTAGGGGGAGCAAGATAATAGTCGATGTTCTGGATTTAAATTAAACTGTAAAGCCTCTTTAAGTATAGTTATTATACATTTGATGTCAAGCAAAGCTGGAAAAATGTGCCCATTGACTGAGAAATGCTGATCATTTTCGACCAAGGTCAGAGAATAGGCCTTCCTATATTTCCATCTGGTTACCTTTTAGAGAGCTTCTTTCTATCTCATTCTTCATATCCTACCCTGGTGATTATGCAATTACACGCTACAACGTCCTTCCTACATTTTTGCAAGTTTGTCTCATTCTTAATGATGAATTTCAAAACTTTAGTTATGCCCTAAAATGTTTTATTTCATTACCTAAAAGTTCTTACATTCCTAAATACACTCTGAAAGTGTAGATCCATCTTCAAATCATATATATATATATATATATATATATATATATATATATATATATATATATATATATATATATATATATGTATATTCAGCTGTGAGTGAAACAAGTAAAGAGGTCTTACCCTTCATTGCGACTCCAGTCACTGCGAACACAAAGGTGTTTATGGTCAGGGTCAGGAGAATAACCCTCATGACAGCTACATTCTCCTGGGGAACAAAACAAGGGGAAAGAAAAAAGGCAAACTTTACCTTTTCTTACTGAGGGAACACATTACCATTTCATATTTTTAAGCTTCTTCCTTCATTTAAGATGTATTAACTAACTTGTGCCGTCGTCATATAATTCTACAGCTAATTTTCTTCAGTGAGGTAAAGATAATGTATATAATGGAAGTAATCATATCAGTTTGACTCAGTAGAATTATTATTCTTATAAAGGATATTTTCAAAATAATAGCCAAATCTTAGTTTTCTTCCTGTGAAAACATATTGGTTCCATTCACAGTTCAACATTCACTACTACATCTCCCAGCAATGTTTTGTTTGATTTGCTACTAAATGTTTCTTTTTTTGTTTAAGTTGAGGCTTTTGTAAAATGTGTCATATTATTGTGTCACTTTAAAAAGCTTTAAAAAACTTTATAATTTAATTTTTAATGCAGAGGAAGACTGGAGAGATAAATAGCCCAAGCTGCTGTTGATCGACAGTAAAGTTTTAGCAGTCTGTGATAGTTAAGGGAGCCCTGCATCTGCTGGTGTTGCTCTGTTGTGTTTTAAGCCCCACAGGGTTCTCCTGCGGATACAATTTTATGAAGGACAGTTGCCCTCAACATCACAAGAAGAAACCATAAAATGTAACGCCGGTTTAATGATAATGGAATTCCCTAATTTTTCCCATAAACTCAGCTGACCTCAGTACAAGGGAGAAAGCATAAATTATGCATTTCTTTAAAGGAAGAAAAGATACTCCAGACTGAAGAATGTGCTAAAGTCAATGAACAGGTTGAGTTCCTCCATGGCCACCTCCACAAAGCAGATCTTGATGCTCAATTCCTTTTATTTCTTCTTTTTTTTTTTTTTTGTTGTTGCTGAAATTAGATTTTTATGAGGTGACTATTCATACTAGTAATTTAATATGACTGCCATCAGATTTTTATGTAAACTCTTTACAACTCAAAAATGGCCCACATGTCCAGCAGAAGAATTTAGAAGCGTTGTTTATGGAATTACTGTAATGGATGTGACAGTTACTAGAAATGTTTAGTAAGGCTTTGCTAATAATGATGTAATAGTAGATTCCAGTCTCTGTCTTATAATAAAAACGACAGGCGGGAATATTATCAACCTATCCTCAAAAGATGAAGCAATGCAAGAAAAAAAGAGCACAACTATTAACAATTGCCATAGTGAACAAGCGACTGCCACTGCTCTAGAATGGTCTGTGAAGATGAGTTGTGAGAGACAAAACTATTAATTAGAAGCCAGAGGAAAATCTGACATGACCACTCAGACTGCCAATGCTTTGAAAACTATGGGATATGTAGCTAATTTAGTTCTTTTTCCTTCTCTTCTGGCTTTTCCCTACCAGAGGTCACCACAGCCAGTCATCTTTCTTAATCAAACCCTTTTTTCTGCATTTTTTTCTGTCACATCATCCTCATTCATGTCCTCATTAATCCAATTTACTTCAACATAAATAATCAACATAACTGTGCCCATGAAATTGCCATGAAAAAGTCAGATTAGGGTTGCATGTCAGCAGAAGATCTGATTAGGGGTACTTCAAAAAAGTTAAAAAACACTTTTTAACTTTTTCAATTGAAAAAGCTTACTGGATGGGAAGCGAAACGTCTTTAAACTTGTAAATAAAGTCCAGTGGATTGTTTTTTTTTTTTTCAAATTATTTTGGAATGACTATGACCTGGATGACTGAGAATCTTCACCAGCAGATTGGGGGAGGTTTGTCCACTATGTGAAAGCCAAAATCATAACATAGTAGGTAGAGCAATTCATGCCAAAGGATCCAAAACTAAGTTACAATTAAATACATTACAGAGTGCTCCTGTTCACTAGAAAGGTATTTTTGAAAGTTTACATACAGTACCCTTCCGTTAAAGACAGAAAAAACAGCAGTGATAAATAGGAGAGATATAAAAACGGAAATAATGAAAGTGACTTTGAATATATACACATATGTATATATAATAATAAATAAAACAGTTAAACAAGCCTGATGGAACGTCTAACCTAAAAGTTTGTTGAGCAAAACTTGGAAGCAATCACTGAAATCAGGTGTTTTCTGTAATGTTCAGGAAATGTTCGGTAAGACTTCTGCACCTTTTGACAAGTAAATGTATATACATTTATATCACTATTTCATTAATAATGTTTTGTAATCACCATAGGTTTTGCCTTCAACACATAAGGATATCTAAAGGATTCCTGCTGCTCTGGAAACTTTTTTTTTAAGTTTACTTTGATTCTTTATTGTCTTCTTTGTGTTGCAGTTGTGTTCTCTGTTTTCTTTCCCTCTCAAGTTAAGTAAGTTCATTTTATTTACAAGAAATTTCACAGAAGTTAAACATTTGAAGCTGTATAGCCGAAATACCTTTCCAAAGAAATTCCAATTCACTGAGATGCACCTGAATATATTTAAAAAGAGTGGCATGTGAAGCTTAAGAAGATGGATCACAGCAGAGGGATATTACACTGCCTCAAGGTTTTAAGACCACTCAGCAGTTTCTATACGTCTTTCAATCTTTCAAAGAGAGATGTCTCAAAGAAAAATGTGTGTTGTTTACTGTGGGTATAGTAAATTGCAAGTTATAAAACTGTGATAAAAAGTTATAAAACATTTTCTATGTGTCTGCATTGTTGGCCAATTATAAAGATTCTAATTCAACAATTCATTGGTAATAATATCTTCATAGCTGATGTTGCTTGGCCAAATTTAGCTGCCAAATGCAACTCTTAGGCAGATGGACTGACAATATGTAAACGAGATGCATCTCCTTAGCAGCTGTTACTCGCTCACAGACAAATAAATAAAGAATAAACCCGCCTCATACAGTAGCTTGATGGATGCCATTCTGAAATTTCAAGGTGTATTTTAGTGCAGACTGCATCCCGGAATATTAATTGACAACACCATAAAATTAGTAGTTTAACAATTTACAGACTGCATTTACAAGTTTAAAAGTAAAGTGACCAAGAAAGGATTATGCATTAAAATGCTTATGTGGCTATTTGATGCAGTATAAACCTCTGAAGATTGCTTCTTATAAAAATAGAAGCACATAAAATTTTCAATATAGTGGAAGATTTTTTTGCAGTTGCTATATTAAGCGTTATATATTAGAATAGTGCTGGGATTTAACAAACTAGGACCAGAAACATGGATTATTTGAGTAACTGGCTTAACGAGAAACTGTAGGCTCAGTGGTAAATGTCATTTGATTGCACTAAATACTGCACTTTGAACAGCAATCAAACTAAAGGCAATGCTTAACAGTCTCAGTACTAGAAATTATATTTCAAATGGCAGGCAAATACTGTATGTCTTGTTGCTAAATATATATGTCTACCAGAATACCACACAAAAAGTAGAAGTAGAAAACGCATTTTTCAATGCCTTTTTCAGTCATTCAAGAGTTCAAGTACTTTTTTTTTTTTTTTAGAAATCTGGTGATCACAGTGATACGGTCATATTTTCCTGGCATTTTACAATTCAGTATTGCTTTTGAATAACCAAGTCTCACTGTTAGGAGAGGAGAGGAGGATTTGCTTAACTTTCTATTCATTTTCCGTTCCAGTTGTTATTTCAACAGTAGTTTGATCTCTGACTGTTCTTTCTTTGCAGGGAATGACAAAAAATCAAACCAGTATCCCTGGATACCGACACGCCTGCTGCAAGTATTGCAGCTTTTAATTGCAGAGTTGCATACTATATAATGATGTAGCCTAATAAAATAAACAATTGCTTTTAAGAGAAACAAATGTAGTAATTTAGTGGAAAACTAGGTTTGGATAACAGCTGACTGATTGTGCAAGACTCCTAAATAAAGTCTGGAGCACTCGTAAAATTGGTTTGTACCTTAAAGAAGATTAGAAGTAGGAGAAAAATGATGAATGTGACAGTTTCTCCTTAATCTCTCATATGAACAATTTAAAAACACATTTGTTCATACGCAGTTTTTGCATAAGGCCAATGACTGCATACAGTACAAGCTGGTTGTTATGATTATAGATTTACCTATAGTTATGGTCTTTCTAGACTGATCAACTCTTGGTATTTCAGCAATCAAATGTCTTCAAAAGGTTCTGAAATAGTTTAACTGTAATTCTAGGTATAAAGAAACAACATTGATTGAATCTTCTTATCATCAATTCAAAAACAAGAAGTGTGTGAAAAACAAAATACAACCCCTCCGAAAACATAGTTTGTAAAACACAGAAACACATGGGTTTAAATTGGGTTTATTTCATTTTTGTCACAGTGGAATATAGTAGTTAAGCATAGTAAACCTCTAGAAGTACATGTTCAGTACTGTAGGTGTAGGCAGAAGAGATGCCAAGGGACCAGTTTCATACATCTTCCCCACCTTGGTTCTGATGAGGTGCACTAGCCTGAAAGCACGTTGCTGCTCTAATCTGAAACAGACCTTGCAAGTAATCAGCAAAGTGGGTCTCTTTCTCCACTGCAAACACATTTAGGTTAGGATCAAGCAATTAACAAGAAGATTTATGCCTGGCTGATTACACAGCCTGCTGAGTTAACCTTTAAACAAAGGCAGGAGCATGTGTCAGGCGTGTCAGTCTCTGCATAGAAAAGACTGTTCAGGTGCATAAAAAATAACATTGTGGCCGGGAGGAAAATCTTAATTTATTTTATGCAAAGCTCACATAAACAGAATAAGACTGATGTTAGTTCATACTTATTCTTTGTGCTGTTATTTATTATAGACGCCATTTAAAAATGTTCCCGAGATGTAAAAACACCATAGATTTGAGGATAAGTAAACTGCTCAAGCTCTCTAACAGCTACACTTGTTTTTAGGACAAAATCAAATACATCAGATGATAAGAGCCACCTTTTTTGATTGCATTGTTCACTTTGTGATGCCAAAATTATAATATATGATTTGTTTTGAGTTTATTTCTGAACATATTGAACATGTATCAGAACACATCTCTGTTAGATGTTCTTAA